AACAGGGATGTAACGTCTGTAATATTCCATTCGGGAATCAAGCGGACAAACCGAACACGACAACACTTGCCCTCAGATACCAAATTAACGTGTTAATGACATAATGTTCTTGAGATCGTTGATCCCCAGGTGTACTATTAACTTTTTCGTCTGCAAATTGTTTTGGTTTTATACTGACACCTTACTCACCTGAACTAAACGTTGGCTTGTAAATCGCATTTCAGTCTTCACATACTTTATGTACCTGTCGATAAGACAATACAATGTATTCATTTTTCATGTACATTGTGCAAGCTCGGCCTTTAAATAACATGAAATGTATTGACCAGCGTATATACCCATCAGAACTGGAAATCACACTACAAACTATTTTAAATATAGTCTTCAAGCTGATATCGTTTCGTCCATTCTGAGTTTGATTTATAATCCTTTTTGACATCTCGGCAATTTTCCTGTTGCGATTTAGTTGATAAATTTTATTTATTTATTATCTGTATCGTATCATTTAACGTGAAAACACATTGTAAGAAGACTACTGTTCTTAGATACCTACATCTATATAAATCAATAATTCCATGGAAATATTCTAAAGAATTCACATGAAGTACTTAAAAATACAGATGGAATGTGCTTTACAACTTAATCTAATGCAAATATATCTATATCCCAAGTCAAATGATGCAGACATAAGCCTCACCGTTTTACCAGAAATATAAGATTAAGCACGTGTTGCCCTCTCCAGAGAAAAAAAGTATCACTCTACCGAACCAAAGGTAGTTCTCAACTACCAACATGGCTGACGCCGATCCTGGTAAAATGAAACATGTCTATGTTTTCATGTATCCCGTTTTTTCCACCAGTTATATTTTAGAATTCTTTTGTTTTGATTTTCTACGTATACTACGGTATTGGGATCAAAGCTTGTATTAAAGTTTGAACTGTACGCTGACAATTAAATATTATCGTCAATTACCATGTTAAATAAAATGAGTGTGTAGGACAAGCTCCATGAATATGAGAGTGGTGTACATACATTAAGATTAATATCAGACTTTTATCATTATTTGCAGAAGTTTTATTTCGATTTTATGCAAATCTGCATTAATCGATTTCATTATGTCTAAATGTTTCAATTTCAATTGCTAGTTTAGCAAATCAAAAACGGTTGTCGCTAACATTTATCTACAAATGAAACTTTTCAATCTTTAAATTCGATGAAAATAATACTTTGGTCTGAAAAATATAAATTTCCAGTTTGAGATCGTAAAACTGGCATCGGGACTAATCAAAACAGGCCTTAATATTGGTATTTGATAAAATAAAATAAAGTGTTAAATGTGTTCTATAGAAAACATACCCACTTTATCAGACTGGAATATGTACTTAATCAATAGTAATATTATGGCTTTCATGGTTGTTATAAATGACATAACTTTTCCCGGCAAAATACACGTTTCGCGCTGAAGCACAATATGGGTTTACATTCACATTGTCTCCACACGTTTGTAATTTGATTCAAATTAATTAAACATTCATAATCGATAGTGTTGTCGGTTGATTGGAACAGTCATTTTGAGTCGTCCATGCATTCTATATTGATGTGATGCGCTGAATGTTATGTGTTTTACTTATAATCAGTATTCTTGCTGATTGTTTTTGGCGCTATGTATCTTATGACGACGATAAAAAGATTTTCAATATCAACTTCTGGTTTTTATTCATATAACTAAGATCATGGTCATATTCATAGAACAAATAGTTAAATGTGGTACAAGCACTCATCTTTGAATTTAATGATGTGAAGTGTAGAGGAGTCAAATATAAGGACTGAAATAGAAGAGGACCTCGTAAACCATTTTTGGATTTCAGATGAATGTGTACAAGCAGATTATACAACCACAATTCCATCTGGAGGTGTAGTGAATGATGAAGTGTTCTGAATCTTTAACCGTGTTAGAATTTGTCTTTGAAGTGGATTTTATCATTTAAATGTATGACACTATTATACAACAGTAAACGTATCAGAGATCAATCTAGAATATAGGGGAAAGTACCCTTTTTACGACTAGGGCTCGGAAGGGCCACAAAAGGAAGTCTTCGGAGCTGAAAACGAAATTCACAGAGAAAAACGCTAATTTATGTAAAATAGGGAATCTCTATTGTAAAATTCAAGAGTAACATTCTGTAAGAAAAGAATTTTAGGTGGGAAATTTCCTAATAGGAAATTAACCCTGGATTGATGAATGCATTAGGTTGTTTCAATCAGGAGGTTAAACAATTATTGTGTGAAATATTAATTTATGTGTTTATTTCCTATTTTTATCATCTAATGTGATGTTTTCGTCTCACTACTCAGTCTTATCTATCAACCTATATTTGCTTTGTTTTGTTCTCTCCCTTAGAACGTTAGAAAATGAGTGCAAATGAATGACGTCATTTCATATTCATATTTATGACGACATAATATATCTTTTGTGATTAGGATCGATTCACAGATTACCATTACGAACATGAACTGTTGCATCTTTCATTCCATCACGGTTTAATTTGTGACTTGGTGTGTAACCAATTTCAATGTTAAAATATGTTAACATATCTTGTTTTCAACTTCAGTTGTTGGATCGCACAACGTTACACGAAGTATGATGTGTACACGATATACGCAATATAGGAAAGCTGGACAAAATAAGTTACCGCACCTTTGTGCGGTTCTATCATGGTACACAGAAATTAAAAAATGGCTTTATCGATTTATCAGATACAGGCTGCATAGTTAGAAAATTTCAAATTTAACTGTGTTTTGTTTAAAATTTCCAAACGTAGATATTAAATGGACGTCGTTTTTCCTGAGTACTGGATAAAAGTGAAGTGTACGTCACGTAGGTACCCATATACAGGCATTTGTTGTTGCCGCTGCCTGAAGTGTGAAACTAGACGATAAGACTAATTGATACTAATTAATACAGTGCTATTTCGAAACATGTAGAATTGAAATTTTTAATCATCGGTCAATTTTAATATTCCAGTTATCGCTATTCAGTCATAACTACACCAGGTTTACATCTAACTTTCAATCCATAATGTTAGCCAACAATTTTACCATAAAATGTGCGACTCTATCGCATAGTTGTGACAATACTGTATGTGTGCGCACAACTCACCGAAAACTTTATATGCACACCATGCAACGAAATGTGGGTTATGCGTTACCTGAAATGTAGCATATTTTGATAAGGCAGTTGCAATAACCTTATCTGCTTAAGTCGCGTTAGATGCGTCAAATGACATTCTTAGCTCAGCAACATAAGATTTCCCTGCGTCCATGGTCGGTCCTTATGTCCTTAAGCAGGTCTTGTTATCGCTATATATGAAGTACTGCATGTTTATTTTTCAAATTTCATATGTTTGGACGCCTTGGGCCGTTATGCATAGACCCATATTCGGACTGATTCGGAAAATAACATGGCTAACAGACAGCCATCTTTTCTGATTTTGTCAGTAATAGTTTGTTATCACTATTTCTGTTGAAATATTCTGTGGATATTCGACAAGAGGCCATGTTTGATTTTGACATAGGGAATTGTTATTGCTTTTACCTGGAAAGCATTAGATGGTCTGTCTCATATTTCTTATAAAAGATTTTTATCGCTATCTATTGAGAAGTTTTGGATGAATCTATAGCAAATTTTACTTGTAGGTTTCGCTATTCTTTAGTTATGCCCTAGGTATTGCCAGAAAATGAAAAACTAACAGGCAACCATCTTTTATTTGACGGTTGAATAATATTATAGTTATCCCTTGAAAGTAATTCTACATTTTCATATATTTAAAAGGAAATAAGATGAAAGAGAAAAACAAGAAATACGATGCATATTATAAGACAAATCTAATGAAGATAACAATATAGAGAGCGGTAAGACCCTCTGGGATCTCTTGTACATGTTTACCTCCTACATATTCAGTACTATGACAAATGCAATCAAATACAAAGGCATGGATTTCCTGGTTATAACATATCACGATGGGACAAGATCTGACACCTTGTAACTGAAAGAGGATTGGTAAAAACATATAAGCTCAAAACATATAAGCTCCCACGTGATTCAAAATATCGTCGTTCCATTCAAAATAAATTTTGGCTGATGTCTCTTGGATAGCTCAAGTTTAATCACCACGATGACCGCCGGTATACTGTCCCCCTGCTTAATTCTGTTGATATTTAATGCGTTTGTTTTGTGTGATTTTGCTCTAGCAGAGAAACAGCGAAATACCCGTTTTGGTGAAAATTATTTAATAATGGAACATAATGAAGGATTTGCTATAAATAAGAACTGCTTTACGGTGAACGGTTCCGTGCGCCGAAGTCAAACCTGAAATAAAACCCTGAAATACTACCGTTAACGAGATATGTTTCCCTTGTTATGATCTTATAAGCCCCTACTCAATATACATGATAAATGATATACTGTTTGCTTCACAAATACTGAAACCATTGATTACGCGCACAATTCTGCGTTACACTATATATATACTACATATATACTACTATAAGTAGTATGCATCCTGTTATAGAAAATGTTCTGTGTTATTGTGATATACCTCCCGTCATGGTTAAATTCTGCTTTACACGTAATGTTATGGCTGAACATAAAAATGTCACAGTTCATCCTCATGATGGTGGGCGTTTTTGTTATTCTTTTTGTTTTGCATATGACGTTTATTAAGTAAGAATGTGCTAGCAACATGAACATCTTTATTAACAGCAAAGAAATAAAGAAAGTATTGAAATAACAATTTTGGTATATCAAGAATGAATGCTACCAAGTAAATAGTTACAGTTTGTTAGTTAATTTTAATGTTTTGAATTAAATGCATGCCAAGTAGTTTTTGAAACTTCATTACCATTTTATTGACAATATTTTAGAATGAGCCCTTTGTCTACGAAAGCATTTTCAAATGTTAAGATTCATATGGCGAGAACGCCCAAATGTTTTGCGATTTCATTTTCTACCAAATCCGCCGAAATAACTCCCATATGATATAGAGTCAAATGGGCGTTTTGACAACACATGGGAACGCTTGACGTGACCCTCGTACGCAGATAATTGTCGCAGCAAGTTCAGAAGCAAAGATTTGATAGCCATAACGTCTTTTCCTGTTGTTCTTTTCTGTTGAGGGAGACTCATCCTCATGTTTACGGCATGTTCATCAACCGGCAGTGTATCATCGAAGAACCCTTCTTTAACCACGAATGACGATTGTGCTGGAAGTTCGTTTCTTGGCACGTAAGTATAAGTTGAATCTTCCATGTCAAAACAGATGCAATAGTTGTCTGTTTTAGATGACGGGAAACAAAGGAATCTGCCATCGTCCTGTTAAATAGATGTAAAATCAACATAAAAATTTGAAGCGATAGATCACATGAAATTATTACAATTACCATAAACTAGATGAATTTCTGCTGAGGGCGCAGAAAACACATAAAGAGAGCGAAGAAACAGCGTTATCAATCCCATCAGTGACATTAAAAAAACATTAAGATAAATAGATGCATGTAAACCAACTAAATTATTGCTTCGGTAACTGTAAACACATTCAAGGTTAACACTTTGAAAAAAAAAACATATTTCTGTTGAAGGTTTAATATGTTCTATGTTGTATCGTTAACCTGTCTGTAATGATTCTTTAAAAACATCTTTTAATTATTATTTAGAATCGTACAAAAGACATGTCAGTTAACACCCCCTTTCAATACAGTTAGATAAGATACAATAAAACAAAAACAAATTAATCAAACTGGATCGTGCAGCTGTTTTCTCCTTTCAGGAGGTGGTGTATATCCATTGTCAACTTTTTCACCTTAATCAAATGTGATCATTATTCCTACAAATATATGTAATATTTACTTATAAAGTAGCGTGTATCTGATTGTCATGAAAACAACATTTCTTATACTAGGCTTTTTGCTATCAAAGATAAGCTACAGTGTAATTCCTGAAGCGTGGGTTATCATCCTATAGGAGTAATCTCATTATACATATGCAGCAATAATGTTAGATATATACAGACACGTGTTCCGTGCCAGTGACATTTTTAGTAAAGTATTTGTCTATTGCATGGATATCGCCTAGGCTTTTGGGAAATCAATTTGTTCCAGGCGACTTAAACTACATTCAATAAAACATCGCTTATCCAAACATCATCCCAACGTATTTTATAGAAGAATTTGGCATAAATTGTCTGGAGACAAAACTCACGAGAAAACGGGATACAGAAGCAGTGTCCAATGAAAATTTCCACAAATTATTTCAATTGATGTATTTCAGTCGAATCCCCACCTTCTATAGGTATGAAGCCCTTTTGTCGTTTATTCTTTCATGATATAACATTGGACATGTGATATTTTTCAATGAATTTATTAATGTCATTTAATGACGACTTTTCCAATAGCGCTTTGATAAAAACATTTTTGATATGATGGCCTTAATTCAATCACTTGTTGAATCGCATATAGCTGATTTTATTCAGGAATGTAATTTCCAATTTTGTTTGATACATTTAACGGTAACGTGTTCCCACGTACAGGATTTTTATAGCCTTATCTTTCCGAACTGTCAACTGACTAACCGCAAACTTTAAACATCTTCAGAACAAAATTGCAACAGCGCCATATTTTGTCCAACATTTTCAGAAAACATCTTACTCTCAATATAATATCAGTTCAGCTTGGAGTATTTCTGTCCAAATAACACTTAATATTGTTAACTGTTGATAAAACACATTTTGATCAAGGTTGCTTTTTCATGGTGAAATGTTTCGACTTTCATTCAATTTATTTACATGTTTAACATGCATAAAAAGACCATAAGGTGATCCAGAACATCAATGTCATATGCGTCAAATGCACTTGTAATATCGTTCACATATGTAGGCTCCATCCAGCATCCGACATAGTTTACCCTCTGAATATTTTTCGTTAATGGCTATATATCAGTTGTCATGGTGATCTCACTGAGAAACGGTTATTTTCTTAGTGCGATATGAAACTGGACTTTCATGTTGCACGTTAGTTCCGATGTTGTATACTTTGTTATCATTTTAGAACCTGTTATTACTAACTTAGATTGACCAAGAATTACATGGCGGGTGTCGTCGATGATGAAGTAAAATACGCTTACTCTTCTGGAACGCCTTGTCTTATTCTCCTTCTCTCTTTTTTGTTCACAATGAGTTTTGATTATGATTTGATAATGATTTTGACATTTTTGTATTTTCTTGTTTTTTCACCTTTTTTTCTCATTGCATTCATGAAACTTAATAGTGTTTAAATAACTGAATGAGAGCAGTGTCCTGTCTTGAAATATTAATGTTCAATTAAAGCGCTCCACAGCCAAATAAAATAAACAACTACCTTACAGATAAATATAAATCAACTGAGCATGTACAACACTATTTTTCCTAGAGACGCTGAATACCTATCGAAAGTCTCATACCGTGAGGAGATTTGATGCTTACTTTGGTATTTAACTTTTATGGTGACATTTTTAGAGATATCGGTTTGGAAGATTATGGACAGCTTTCATGGTACCCTTTATCATCTGATATGATACGTGTTAATATATTTTCGATGTTAATTAGTATATCTGACGGCTTTGATGGAATTGACACGATTAGCATTTGAGAGCATGACTATTCTTTTTGCATATATGAACTTTCACTGGGTAAAGATACCATAATTGAGTGTGATTATTGCTTCCTATGTGATGCAATACTTGTTAATTTATTCGATTGGTATTGAAGACTTAGGGATAACAGATTAATGTATAAAAAGTTATTAGTTCCTCCACATCGATATGGTGTGCAGGAAATTCAAATCTGTGGTAGCAAAGAAAATAATACTGACATTCCTATATGAAAATCGAGATGACATGTACAGGATTGATAAATGCAACATTTACTGAAAGAAAGATAACACTTCAGATAAAATTTGCAAACGTTGGGACAATCCTTCAAACTGACCTACATATTTATATCACTCGTGCAATAAATTTACTGTCCTATAATAACTGCGTGGTGACAACAACGACTGATTGAGATATATATGATGAAGTTAGGGAACGGGACGCGCAGAAGCAATTTAAAACGTATCATGCGTGACGGTATACTATCAATTCAACTATCCGTCACTGTCGGAAAACTTTAAACTGTTATCATTTGTCACTTCTTCCTGCCATGTAACCATTTAGTTCGCGCGGTGATATATGGCTAACCGTGAAAATTCATCTATCATTCAATTTTGTAATCTTGTAAAAACTTTTTTCAAGGACGGTGCTAATGAAATGTTGGTATCAGACTAAAATATTCCCTTCCTTAAATTTTTAATAGTAAGCCTATTAAGAGTTCACAGACATTCACTGAATGGCCTTAGGTATAAATGTCATGCAACTGTCGATTAGACAAATCGTTGCTAGGGATTATAGTATGATTTAGATGGGATATATCAGCTGTATTTACGTGAACAGAAAACATGACATATTAGGAGTGCAACAAGACCAAGAAAATACATGTCAACCAAATGTTATTTCATGCTCCATTTCGATGAAACGAGGGCAAAATATAACATAAAATGAAGACTTTTTAACGATTTACAATAATTTCCGGTTTTTAATAATCTTATCCGCTTCTCAATGCCATACGTTAATGTGTGACATATAATTATCCAATAACATTTTTAAAGGATGAAATGGTGTGGTACTTTATTATTCTGAAAGACATTTTAGCCTTCAACACATTAACACAATTCTCTTCCTCCCTCAAAACACCGCACCTTCAAATACACAGACGATAAATCAACATTTCTAATATAATTTCATGTTATGAACAGTAAATGGATGACACAAATAACACGGCAATGGACAAAGACATTTCTGCTTTGAAAGTAGATAATAGATTTTAAGGGAACAGTAATTAATGACCGTGATATTTGATCATTTGATATTTCGAAAACAGCTATAAATTTAGTGAGCTTGGAGTGTATCCATGGATGTAAATTATTAAAGTATTTGTGAGAGAGCACATTATAGTAAGCATTGTAAATAACATATGCACTGATAAAACATGCTCATGATATGTATATGTATATCGCAATGTTCCCAGCTTCTGAATATAGAAGCGTGAAATACAGGTACTTTATTCAAACGAAAAGAAATACTGGCCGTTTGATTAAGCCGTTACGACTGGTGAGCAAGTATTTCGAATTTGAAGTTCTATGAAAGTCCTGTGTAAAGGTGACATTGACCTATCGACATCAGTTTACATCAACTTTCGACATATTTTCATGTTAAATCATAATAGATGGGCATTGCATTGTTGTGGCATTGAATAGACACTACATGCACATGGATGTAAAACTTTGAACGAGAAAACTGATCAACCCATTTCACATCAAATAGTGCTTATTTCCTTGCATAAACAAAACCCGACATGAATTTTCGGATTCGGTATGTAGGACTTAGGGAGAAAATTGACGTATAAAATGAATCAGTGGTCAACATGACGAACGTCAAATCAACAAATTGTACATTTAAGTGCTTTGACTTTCGTTTATCGCGGAACATCAATGTGTGTCGATAAAGGAAACGTTTCCCGTGGTACTACAAGAGGAGAATAAAACTGACGTTGTAGCTTTCTATGTTTATTAGAAGAATAAAATAGTCTATGTTGGAGGTAACTCTTTGTTTAATGGCAGACGTTAGGTAATAAACACTGTTTCTGTTATATCAAACGAACATTAAAGGGAAATGACACAATAACATTGCTACTATAAACATTATTCCTGTGATGTTGAAATCGATGGTATATCTTCCACCTACCGCAATTATCACACGATAGATAGTTACGTAAAGCGATGAACAATACCGTTTATGACAAGTGACTAAAATATAACCAGGTGAGTAACACTAGGCTACGTTTATCACTTCAACTGGATCGAATTAGAAATCTACGCACTGACGTCATCATCTACTAAACTAAAGTGTGGTTATTTAGGGAAAGATCAAAGTTACAATTTTTTACGATAAACACATAGGCACAGATAATTAATTGTGTGATTCAGGCAATAAAAACTACACACGGAGAATGAAAATGGAAAGTAAAAAGACAAAACACATTTACATGAGAGTAAATACAGGGTTAGTACCATAGGCGATACTCACGGATAATCAAAATGGATTGAACTTTAAAAGTTAAACAGGGAGAAACGAAAACACCTTCCGCAACATTAATGTAATTTCAGATGCCAAGATTAGCCCGAGGTTTTACAATTAACAAAGTAAATGTAGAACGAGTGCTGAGAGTTACGCTGAAATGTAAA